AAGCTGTCGACCCATCTTGTCAAAGCGCTCATCTTCCCGTGCAGCTGCTCTAGAACTGCTTTTTGACTGCCGCCACCGGATACGCCTTCACAACAGTCTTGGCCGGCTGTGCCTTGACGACAACCTCCTTGCCGAACATACTGCGAGTGCCGGCTTTGGTGGCAGGCTTCTCACGGGTCTTGATCATGACGAGACCAGGAAGGACGAACTTGCCTCAAACTTCATTCGGTCGCGAAAAAATTTAGACAGGGTTCTCGAACATTCTAGTGACTAACTAGAGTTCGAAATCTTTGGCTACTGTACGTCTAGGACAACTCCAATGGAAGAGTACATGTATCGTCCTGACATTCCCACTAGATATCCCCGCTCCAAGCCCAAAAACATCCAAAAACCTTGTGCATGAAGCTGTCGTGTTCCCATTACAGATTCCCCCTGTCTCCCCGTCCCTGAACAAGCCATCGACTGCCTGCTTTCTTCACCTCGGTTGCACCAATATCGGCCAGGGAAGAAAGCACCTGCGTCACCGCGGACTTCTTCAAGCCTGTGTTCTCCGCCACCTGCGCGGCAATGCCACTCTTCGGCATGGCGCGGACTGCCTTCATCTTCATGACCTTCATGCTCTTGCTGGCTCCGGCAGCCTTCATTGCCTGCACTGAGGTCATCATGCTTGCTTCACATGACATGCTGGACAAAATTGCAAAGGTGACAACAGTAACTCGTACTTCACGCGGCCTTCATAGGAGCCATAACTTCTGAAGCTTAAGGAAGGGCGATGCGAACACAAGGGCTGGTGCAGCGTGGGCCAAAACAGCTCAGGTTCTGACCGTGAAGCAAGCTAAGATCCACAGATGAGGTGAGCATCACGTACTATTACTATGACTATTGCTATTACTAGTACTAATACGATTACTACTAAGTACTATTACTATTAGCATCAAAACCAGCAAGGGCCAGCTACAATCCTCCCCCAGCGGCAGAAACGGCTTGGCGGAGATGACAGAACTTATTTTCGATTTCATCGCTGTGTTGGAATCCATGAGCGGCCAATCTCAGTCTGGGAAGCAGTTGGCCGGTACGAGTGTGAAACCATGATATGTGGCTGATTACTGGAACACTTCACTGAAAAAGACAAGACGAAGGTCCAAAGGCAACATGGGGACATGATGGTTCAAGAATGACTATGATAAGGGTGCTAGTATTTAGGGACAGAACCGCTGTTTTGAGAAATACCCCATGGGATAGCAGCCAGCATTGGGCCGTCGCCATCACTTGGAAGCCTCGTCATTGCACTTCCTGCGATACATAACTGCACCAGCCGCCTTGCACAACAAGGAAAAGACTTTACAAGGCCATATTTAAATCGTCAACATGGGAGGCCTTTCAGCATGTAGACTACAGCGGCTGCAGCAGTAAACTAGATCAAAGGGTTGGGACAAAACCAACCAATTAACATTGTCAGCATTTGAAAGTTGCATTGGCATCGGCAGCCACTACCTACTGCCTCTCCCTCACTTATTCTCTGTGCTCTCAACCGTCAGGGACTCAACTTCTGGCAGCACATGCGGCAGTCCATCTTTAGGCACTGCGTGTCGAAGCCCTCGACCTCAGCGACTCAGCGCACCAGCGGGCGATTGAAAATCTTTTTCTGTGAGCCGCTGCTGTTTCGAGAAGTCTTCGAAATTCCAAGGAGGTTCTGCAACTGGGCAGATGCCTCCACTGTGCTGCGGGCTGTCGGCAATGCCTGACTGTGCGTGACGATGGGTCTTGGGCTGTCCGCTTGCCAGCAGAAAGACTTGCCACGGCCAAACGGAATCCACACGCACGTCTGGCTGTCCTTGAGCTCTAGGCGAAACTTTGTCCCCCAGTAAATGCAGCCCTTGTCATTGTTGTACTTGATGAGCCCTGCTGTTGTAAGAACCCTGCCATTTGGGCGTGTAGTCACCACCGTGCATGAGTTGGACCCGGAGTCCGGCACCACCTCATAGCGGCTGCCACTGTCATCCTTCCACTTTCCGGTGATGCGCATGATCATCTCCGCAGCTGGTGGCGTTGGTGGCGTTGGTGGCGCTGCTTGCGGAGTAGTCGGGCTCTGGGAGCCTTCGGAGCCGTCCCACTGGGAGCTTTCGGACCGAAAGCCCCAGGAGCTCACAGGGCTTTCGGTCTTGGACTCCCTTGCTGGGGGCTTTACCGTGAAGCGCGTCTCAGGCTTTCCACGGGTGGGAACCTGCTGCCAGCGGTATGCCGGCTTGCCACGCTTCAGCGGCTGCCACGTCAGCCACTTAGTCTTGCCGTCGCCATAGCCACTGTCGCCATAGCCGTAGTTGCCATCCATGATGTCCAAGTAGTAGGACGTTCCCCAGTAAATGGCGCCCTGCCATACCTGCAATAGACCCTTTGTCACACGCCGCCTACCATCTGGGCGACAAGTTGCCACGGTCCAGCTGCCTGGACCATCGATCGATACCTTGTACTCTGTACCTTGGGCATCCTGCCAGGTTCCAACGATGTTTGCTGGCGCCATAGCTCGCAGGCACCTAACTTATCCTCTGAACCACAGGAGGCTTCATATGACACTGCACATCAGATGCACCAAGAAGGTCAGCATGGGCGTGACTTCAAAGGAGCGCAGGATAAAGCAGGGCAAGTGAGTTGCATACGTTCACAGCAACTGCAGGCCTTGCATCCATCTGTGGGACCTGCTGCGCCACAGACACCTGCCAGAGCTCACCGCTGGCTTTGCACGGCTGCTTCTTTAGGGCGTAGGCCCAGAAGAGAAGTAGGGAAGCAAGGCATCCGACGGAAAGCTGCCATCAAGCATCTAGCTTTCCTAGAATCCCTAGCCTTCTCCATTCGGAGACTCCCATGGTCATCTCCGTAAAGCCCTTCAAGCAAAACGTGATAATCTCCTTCCCCATGCTTGATCTACCCTCCTCCAAACTAACACGGAACACAGTAAGGTCCCTCTTTGAAGGTGAGCAGTCTTCAAAGGGCTCCTGGTGACCCACTACTAAGTGATAACAGTAATAGATAATAGCAATATTAATGACAATAACAATAGCAGTAGTAGCAGTAGTAATCACTATGATAATTTAGGTGGACCCCCCACCCAGTAATAGTGCCTAGAGGGGATAATAGGGATTATATCAGGGTCCTCTTATATTCCCATTATACCACTATTACAGGGTGGGGGGTCCTCCTAAATGATAATAGTAATAAGAGTAATAATGGTACAAATTTGCTCAAGTGTCTCCCCTTCCTGGGGCTGGCGCAGCGTCACATGTGGTCTTCTGGGCATCCCAGGAAGCCCAAACCTGCCGTCCAATCCTACACTCTATCTGTACATGTGTGTAAGTAGGTCAGCATATATGAGCTATAGTCTAAACTGCTAATAAGGCCTTTAATACTCCCCTATATAACCCCCTTTGAGGAGTTTAGACTACAGCTCATATGATTGTCATCACGATCAACGTCTATAGGTGTGTGTGCGTGTGTAGGGCCAGCCCGTCCCAAGCTAGTTTGGGAAGGGCGGGTCATAGACGGATCAGGGAGATTGCAAGTAGTGTGCCCCAGAATCCTTTTTTTTATTTGGGCCCCGCATTGCACGGAGGATTTTGGATGATTCTTGGTGCCATACAGGGGGATATCTGCACGTCACAACCTACGAATCTCTCCGACTGACTATCAGCCCTCACGCTCGGAATCCAAAGGATCATCATTACGTTATTCAAGCTCATGTGAGGTGAGTTACACTTACGGCAGGCCTCCACATACGTTTTCATTTACCGTTGTTCCTAAGGCGAGAGAACGCTGCGAGCAAATGATAAAAGCCCTTTTGTGGGTCTTTACAGTCAGGATCCTGTTCATCTGTTCTTAAAGGGTAATGAAAGGCCCCTACATCTGGGAAACTCGCAGGTGTAGTTCAAATGGCAACGGACCGTGGAAGGCATCCTGAAGGGGGGCCTCAGTATTCTGTGTATCTTTGCTGGGTTCCTGGTGATGGCATAGTCCGTGATTCTGAGCAGTTCGAATAGCCGCTCACGGTAATGTCTCGCTGTATCAGCATGAGCACAATGTCAAGCCGCGAGTTCAGGGCATGGGCAAAAAGATGTGGCGTCCAAAAATATCGACGGGATATTCCGAGCTAAGCCTTGTCTGGCATTCCACTATCAAAAGAGTAACAACTACAAACGTGAATTGGTCCCGCATCATGCGATGCAGGAAAAAGCGCAGCACTGGGAGTTCAACAATGGGCGGAGGGGCTTACATACACCCTCTGCGACAGCGTCTCCACAAAAACAATTCTGAGGAATCCCCATGTCGCTCCTATGTATGCCCCAGTGTGTTCCTACACACTCTAGGCCCGTACATACAATCCATTTGAGCCCCCTATATGAACCCAATTGTCCAGTTTTTGCATTTGATTCTCTAGAAATTGAATTATCCTTTGTTAGGGTAGCTCTTCATTACCAGATAGGTTTTCATGTCCCACGCTTTCCACTCGATTCTAATTGGATCGGCCCCTAAGCCCTGAACCAAACCCTAAAGAATCAATCCCAAACCCTGAACCCTCTCTGCAGAATTCTGGAGAATTGTCAGGTGCAGTAGCAATTCACACATCCTTAGGAAATCATCCGTCCTACAGCGCACAGAAAGAGTGTGGCGTGCTGAGTGCCATGGATGATTACCTAAGAAGCATGACGCAAATTTGCACCTGGAGGATTTACAGATCTTCAAATTCGCTAATGGGTTACAATCAGTATTGCCCACATATGAACGGACATGGGTAAGCCCAATATTGACGCTAGCCCATACGCCCCATAACTCGGGTCATTCCCCCTTACAGCAACAATTACCACAATAGATAATACGAATTACAGCAGCCCCTTAGCACAACCCCTTTAAGGACAGTTACTCCGAGGGGGAATGACCCAACCCAAAACCAAGTTGAGCTATAGTCTAAACTCCATGTATCCCCCTCAAAATCCCTTACCATACTCCCTATATAGTCCCCTATCATACTCGACTATATAATGCTCTACAGTACTCCCCCACATAATTCCCTATACCATAGCTCAGTTAGGAACTTGCCTGAGAGTCTGCCTCGGCGGTCATTTCCTGGAAAGAGCTCGAGGCTTCAGGTGCCTGGACATGGGCCACAAGAAGAATGCTGCTGACACTAAAACCCTACATGACCTTAGTCCTTAGCATACTACGGTAGAATTTTAGTATACCATTATAACATAATAGTATACTAAGGTAGGATTTTAGTATAATATTATAACATAATCCCGAAGTGTTGGGGTCCAGCCCTTGTTTTCTGGCTAGGTCCCCAACTCCTGTCAGACGGTGTCAACTTTATGCGACGCTCACCCCGGTGGCCCTGCCCTTGATGTTAAAGGCTCTTCCCTAGCAGACAGAGGATTGATTGAGAAGATTTAAGAATTTAAGCCACGATTTAGGGTTTAGGGCCACGGTCTAAAGTCCGTAAAGGGGGTTATACATACTGGATTATACAGGGGACTGCTATGGTGGTTACTAAGGGGAATACTGGGAGTTTAGGCTATGGCCCATTTGGGATGAAGGCAGAGATTTTTGTCCAACGAGTCTTGGACTTACCGCTTCTGAGTAGGGAATAAAGGAAAATAATCCCTTCATTGACCCTAAAATCCACTATTTCCTATATTCACATATTCCTTACTAAGAGCCAAGAAGTGGAACTGAAATACCCGGCAGACATCTACGAAGCTGATCTCACTAAGATCCAGGATTACTTCTGCAGAACGTGCCCGTTTTCATCCTTGATTCTCTATTCCGCTCTTGCATACAGCTTCCTACTCATCCCTCGCGCTTGCAGCTCAATCCCCAACCGGTGATCCCCACAAAGCCCTAGACCCTAAGTAGTAGCTTCCATTTTCGTTTCCATTATCCCTTTCTTACCCCTGTAATCCCCATAGTAACAGAAGCAATAGATTCTGATAGCTTTCAGCCCTTAACCTTTCTTTCAACCATCCGGTTGCCTCGCGCGCACGCAGGATCAGCTGCTCTACGAGCCTCGGCAAATGCGGTTTAGGGTTTAGGGCCCAGTGCTCTGCGCAGACTTGAAGGCATCTTTTGCCTAGCATTGGGGCCTCGAAGCTTTGTACTCAGCATTTGTTCTGTGCGAGATTGAGGAGATCAGATTTTACTTGCACGAAGGAAGATAGGACACGCTTCAGTGGGCGTTGTTTCTTGTATTCCTGCACGGCCCACCCCAGCTGACTTCTCCGCACTGAACACGAACCCATTCCATGCGAGCCAGCCTAGAACTTCCTAAATCACCTACAGAACTCTTCATTCCTACTACCCAGCACTTATCCAATGCAGGCCGTCCGGCTGCGCCAGCTGGATCTCGAAGCCCGCCCAGGACTGTGCCGGCGGAGAGAGGAGCTGGTACCACCTGCAGCTCCGTGAGATTCGGAGACTTCATAATTTTTCATGTTGGGGGTATTGGTGCTTCAAGGATGTGGTGAGGACCAAGTACACCTGCAGGAACGCAGGCTCATAATGACTATAGAAGGACAGTGTCTGGAAATGGCCTCTTGCAATAACGAGGAATAGTCGCACATGCACCGGCACCAAAATCAACACAACCACAATCACGATCAAAACCAGCTCAGACTTGCTACCAAGAACCCAGAGTCCTACACGGGAATCTGCAATTCGGCGCTGCCTGTTAGGCTTGATAGCGGCAGGTTGGCGCCGCCGATTGCCCGAAACTGCCTTGTGTAGTTCGGTCGATGTTGGGAGCTCTGACATCGGGCATGGTCAGACTACTGAGCATGGTCGAGTGTCTACCACAGGCAGCCTACGTTGGCCGGGAGTTGCCAGAGCGAGGGCATGGAGGGAGCTGATTGATTTTGCTCTTCCCCCACACCAGCCTGCAATGACAGTCTCAACGCGTTCGCAAGGACCATGGGGTCCTCATGGTACTCCTGCATCCCAAGGCAACCTACAGCAATGGCTCCACATCATCCTCCTCATTGCGACAAGGCTTGCATGAGAAGAACCGCTTGCCCGACCCTAGGCAACCAGGAAATGATCTGCGGCAGCGGGAGTCCTTGGGCCACTTAACCAGTTTGAAGACCTTCTCGCCTCGCACGAGCGCTTCCAGCAACACTTCTCGAAATCACATGGTGCGTGATGAATGCTGCAAGCTTCACAGGGTCAAGGGTGCAGGGCGGCCATGTTGGGTCCTGATGATGCTTCTTGCAAGGAGGTGTAATGGCTAAGGCAAACTGGAAGGCTTTGGGGCTTTGGTGGAATGCAGCTGGGCCTTGATTGGTGAAGCCGTCAAACTGCATGGTGGCCAGCAGAGGCAGCTGGGCATTGTCTAAGGGGTCCGTGGACCCACGCACACCAAACTGCCGCGCTTGCAGCTCAGCCGTCCATAGCATTCGCATGCCGACATCCTCAGCAACGGTGCTGTCGCTGAGTTTGAAGACTGTCTGGAGAAGCACAGGCTACATGATGCGCCTAGCTTCATAGAGACTCCTCTCCAAGCCATGCCACAACAAAGACTATCAAAAAAGCAGAATGGCATCATGTCGAAAGCGGGCTTTTATGAGGAGTCTGCCGCTGCACCGGCATTGCTATGCCTTTATCACAACTGATCAACCATCAAATCAGGTCCCGGCAATGAGCCGAACACATTCCTTGGAGTCGTGAAACACATATGACGTTTCGTCACTGCTGCTGAAACCCTGCGCCATTAGTGGCCTACGGTCCATGCTGCTGCTTTTGGTTGTCCAACTGCTTCTGTGATTGCTGCGGTCTTTCGAGCTACACGCAGTTTTCTATGTAGGCACATGAAGGGTATTCTGTTGAGGTAGCTTTCTTAATTGCCCCTGAAGATTACAGTAAAGAATCCTAAATCGCTAAACCCTGAATATGCTCTTGGTAACCATGCATTGATGCTGACAGTGGCTCATCTGAGAATGACTTATATGAGCGCCAGCTTTTAATTATTACCTGGGCCTTATCCGGCATTTTTAAACCAGGGCCCCTCATCTCGTTCGCCTTGTATTTATCTTTGTGTTCTACCCTGACGAAATCACTTGATCTCGTTCGCCATGTTGGAATATGTACTGGGCTCTTCTTGCAAGGGAAACTGTGGCCTATCTCGTTCAATCCACGGCCCCGTAAGAAAAAGCAGTTGCTCATATGACTACAAGGAAGCCCTCCCAAAACCCTGAAAAACTCTAAACCCTAAAATCCTCGACCCCCAGACCTACAACCTGAGCCCTAAATGCCACATCCAAAACCCTGAGCTGTCCTACATCCTAAATCCCAAATCCTAAACCCTAAATCCCATATGGTAGATTCCAATAGCAAGGGACCTATATATTCCCAGTGTCCATTTCATTTTCCATTTTCTTTTCCGTTTGATTCTCCATTATAGAAGGTAGGCCGGGCCAGCGGCTGGATCCTCCAAACGGAGAAGTTTCGCTCGCTCCTGCGGGGGCGATAGGATGCAGGACGACACGGAGGCTTCTCAGAAAAAAAGGCCTGAGGCGCTTTTGTAGGGATTGTAGGGAAATACAGAGTTTGGAGGTTGGGGCTTTGGGTGGCAGCATGAACCTACATCATTCAGGGAGATTTCCAACACCCATGGTTGTGTGTTCTCTGAGGCGTCCGAACCATCCCAGTCACAGTACAGGATCAGCATGTGCGGATGCAAGGAGCTGGCATGGTAGCGTAGGGTATCTGCGTTCAGGTTATGTAGGTCAGCCACCTTGGACCTCCGTTAAAACTTTCACGATGGAGTTGAAGGTCGTACTGCTGGGGCCTAAGTAGCTGGTAGAAGTCTCGGTGGGCTATTACGCGCTTACAAGACTCACTTTTTGCTACAGGAGGACTTCTGGGATTCCGGGGAACGCAATGATGAACAAGAGCATTCGGCTTCGAGTTGTCAGGCAGTTAGGCATGATCAAGAAGCAGCAGTGAATCCTAGCATTCATTGCGGTTCTTTACCATCCCCGTAGATCTAAGTGTTCTTGCCGGCGCCATCTTGATCAGAATCATCTCAGTTTCATCGTTAGCACAACAGCCATTATCATGGCACTATTGTCATTGCTTCGACTGCGGCTATCAGCATGCTATATAATACTATCTGAATACATTGTCACGCTGTTACTGCTGCTATCTTCTCAGCAGTTAAAGGGTTCCCTCCACTGCCGCCACCGCCAGCACCAGCACCACCGATCACCAACACCAGCACCAGCCCGAGCCCCACCCCCAGCACCACCACCACCACCACCACCACCACCACCAGCATCATCAGTAGCCACTGCTCACAGTGATTGGTGCAGAAACCCTGTCCTTCGGCGGTAAGCGAGCCCATGTAGCCACAAGCTCATCTTCCATTGCACAGCTCAAAGCAGCTGTGTGAAATTAAGCGATTTCTTGTCCTGGTGAGGAGCATCAAAGCAGGGCTCACTGCCCAAAAGCCCCAATGCTTCTTTCGGCAGATCTGCCACATGTTTTGCGGGCACTATTCTTTGAACCATACATGTCAGTGCCGCCATCACCATGTCATCTGCCACCAGGTGTATGACTCTAGGTTCGCCTAGGCTGGTACTCATGGGGGCCTAGTGCCAGCAACGGTCATATTGCAAACCGGCAAACAGCCTTACCAAATGTAACACGGCGATCTAGCAATCATGCCATGGCCCTGGGGCATAGCGGCTGCATAAATGCAAGATTCATTTGGGCTGAAAGCATGTCCCCCCTGAATAGACCTCTACTTGCTATAGGGATCTCCACTTCTGGAAACCACATGCAATGCATCCCCCGCTTCTGCCTCAGCCTCCGCCTTATAGGCTGTTGCTAGGGAAAGGGATTCGTCCAATTAAGGACCCGTATTCGATGAAACAACCTCTTCAACTTATTCGACCAGGTCCCTCCTGCCAAGGAGTAAGATAGTAAGACGTCCAAGAGGAATCTGCATACACGCGAATCTACGTTCAAACTTTGGGTCCCTAGTTCCATGTAGAGCTATGTATGAGAGGACGAGACGTGCAGCGTCCTCCCCGTAGGCCGAGTTGTAACAGCGCAAGGCTCACATGACAAACTTGTCCACCGCGTCACAGAGCTGAATGTAACTGGGCCAGCTTTCAGCCCAGCTGTCCGCCCAATGCACAGGATTTGCGTTAATGGCACCTGCCAGCGCAAAAGGTGCTAACGTGCTGCCCACCAAACCAGATTGGAAAAGAGATTGGCTCCGTGGGCATGCAGAAAACGAGAAAATCTCAGAAAGCGCGCCAGCTGTGGGAGCGCCGTGTTGGGCTCCCATTTCTGCGAGATGCACACTCCTGGCGCCTTAAACTTTGTCACAATCATTCATCTAGCTTTTAGCAAACCCAAGATTGTGGGCTTCCAGCCAGGAAATCATTTCCTTTGTGTAAATGCGCAGCTTCGGGTGGTAATCCCGCTGTGCAGCCTCTTTGAGGCACCCCTCAAGCAGTCTATAAGCAGACTCACAAGCCAGCCACATGCCAGCCTCTCGGTTACAAACTCAGCGCTGTGGCTTTGCCAGTCTGGAGACCACCCGCCTCTGGAGCTGAAGAGCAAACTCTTTTTTGAGGAGGGAAAATTTTAGAATTTGGAAACTGCCTAGTACTGCACGCCTCACCACCTAAACTGTAGTGTCAAATCTTCATTATCATGCGATAGATGATTGTGAAGCGTAGGATTGATGAGGCTGTTGTGTTTTGAAGACTGCCACAACGGGGACGGTATTCAAAATCAAGACAATGGTGCAGATATGGTTACCATGGTGGTTGTAGACAGACTGTTGTGGAGCTTCCTAGAAGCATACTGGCAACAATCACGCACGTACCTTGGACCTGTACATAGGACGATCCACAGTTTGAAAATCCTATCTGGATTTTTTGCAGCATTACTCCGCAAGGGACTTACATAACAAACATCGCTACCACATACTAGGCTTCGGCAGCTACCGATGTTTTTCTGGATGACCTAACTGACATTTCATCTAGACCCAGGAAAACTTGACCAGGGGAATCTGTAGGCCAAAATCCAGGTGCCAGGACAGGCATTGTCAGTCCGAAGCCCAAACCGCGAGCCCCCGTTGGGGGGCTGCAAGGGGGCCATAATCGGGGCCTAGGGTCCAGGGTTTAGGGTGTAGGGATTATTGTCGTAATGTGGATTGTAACAAATATTACACTACTTTAAACCTCACTTAGAACGACCCATGAACCTGCAAGCATACAACGCCAGGCCAATGCTGCAGGAATGGCCTGGGGGTTTGACAGCAGATACATCGAGATTGTAAGTCTGTGAATCACAAGAAAGCCATGAACCCTAAACCCAAAACTCCTGAACACCCAAAACCCCAATGTTTCAAAACCCCTGAAAACTTGGACCTAAAAAACTAAGCCCTAAGAACCCAAGACTCCCACTGCCTCGACAGGAACTCGCGAAGCCATCTGCGCAAAGCGCGACGATGGATCAGCAAGAAGCGCTGAGGGGTGGCCTACAGGCAGAGGCTTTGGCTTACGACTAAGGCTGAGGGCTTAGGGTTTAGGCTAAGGTTTTAACAGGATTTGGGTTTAGAGGCTTTCCATCAGGATTAGGCTTAGGGCTTAGTGTTGAGGCTAGGGTTTTCATAGCATTTGGGTTAAGGGCGTGGGGCGTGGGGCCTGGGCATAGGGGTCTGAGTTGATGGTCTGGAGTTTCAGGTCCAATGTCTCGTACACGGTCTCAAGGGTTGGGATGGGATTTTGTTACAGTTTGTGCTGTGACCATCTTGGGTTTAGGGAGGGAATACTGTGGCAGTGTACAGATTCACGTAATGAGAGCGCCACATCTTCGTTATAACCCTGATGCGATGAGAGCGCCACAGGCCGGCTACTTGTTCAAGCCTCCTGAGTAAAATGGAAGGATTTCCTTTGAACTTTTCTCAACTGCAAAGCACCTGCAGATTTGATACGTACTGCAGCGAGGTTTTGTAGTCCAATATGGCAATATGGGCTGTCAAAAAGTTGATGTTCACGAGTTTACGTGCGTCCTGTAAGAATTCTTGCGGGGTGCCATTGCGACACTCACTCAGGGAAAGCTCACTGGAGAGAGAGTCCGAAGCGCGTACCAGGCAAACTCTGTTTAGGCACCGTGGCACGCTAGGCCTAGGCACTGAAGGAGTGCGGTCATGCGACCCGCAAAAAAAGTTTACAACCGCCAGAGAGAGGAGGGAAAAACACCAGCCGGCCTGTTTCAACCACGCATCCGGCATCCAGGACCGCGATCATGTCTGCATCCATAATCGTCTGGAGACGATGTGCCACCACAAGCATGGTACACCTGTGGAATTGGGTCCGGAGGGCTTCCTGAATCAAGGCGTCCGTCTCACCGTCCACGCAAGACGTTGCCTCATCCACCAGCACGACCCGGCTACTTCTCGCTATGCATCTTGCAATGCAGAGCCTCGGTCAAAGTGCAACAACGTGAACAAGATGATAATTTAAGGAAACTGGAAGTCCTTGCCGGGTGTCTTCATATGGGTCAGGATATGACACGTAAAATGTGCGTCGAGCACCAGCAGTGCTGTTACCAAGCTTTTCCGGCCTTGTAAGCGTTCGCGGGCAAAGGAATTTCAAGACTGGTGCAGCTCACTGTGGCCCTCGTAACCTCTGCTTTGAGGATCCCGGGGGTTAGGCGTGTTCCTCTAATAGCCTGACAGTAGAAGCTGGGTTCAGGTGAATTTGTAAGAGGATACGAAGACACAACCCCTTCTTGGAGATTCATGGGCAGGGTATTAATGGATACCTGTAGGGCGACTATGGTTAAAACCCAAATCCGAGGAGGCCGGGGGCCTGGGGCCGCGCATGGTTTTTGCACCAAACCCCCTCCAGCCTACATGGAGGTTTGTTCGAAACGTGAGGGAGGGGTACTAGGCTCCCTGAGAATCTGAAGCCATCACAAGCCAGGCAACAGCTGCCGCTGGCCCAGGCTAAAGTTGCCGCCGCTCCTCCGAGTTGCAACAGACAGATGCTCTCGAACCAGGTTTCGGGTGTCATATAATTTGGGTGCTTACTGATTACTTGGCGGGTCTAAGGGACGCAGACAGTAAATAAATAACCCCTAGTTATCCTCATTCTTCAACTACTCACTAGGTCCCCATGACCCACCATGTAGGTTCAGCTCGAAAAAATCAGAGCTCAGGGCCGAAGCCTGGCCCGTCTGCAGGGTTCCTACTGTATGGGTTCGCATGCGTGAGAAAGTTTTATAGTCCCCCTTAAGCAGACAGAATATGGCTTTGGGTATACTACAATAAGATCCCCATATACCCCATATTCTATCTACTTAAGGGTGACTATATCCCTGTGCAGCTTCACAAGCTGTTTTCCTTGCCTGCCATCCAAGATCACCTCCCCACCAAACCCCCATTGATACATGCTGGTTTGTTGGGCTGCGCTTGCTCCAAAATGAAAAAGATAGTCGCAAAGGTGCCATGGTTATGCGGCCTCTAGTCCACTTCTAATTCTGATGTCGACTCTAGCCTCAGCACAACAAGGACTCAGGCTTTTTATCACCGGTCCCTCAAAGTGCGGCACAAGACCCTTTAACTCCAAAGCGTGAGCCCTATGAGCACCACAGGAAGCCACCTCTCGACACGAGCTGCAAGGCCGCCAAGCGAATCCAGTTTGGCATCCAGGTGGATCTGACAGCTTCCCAGCAGGGTTGAGAAAGAATAGTCATATCGATCCGGTTTTTGAGGGATGTTGGGAAGATTGAGGCTAGGCCTGCAGCCCTCTGTAAACACACAAGCATTAGCCTTGGAACCGCTATGTGCAGTGCTTTAATGCTAGGCTACATCACTCCAAGCTTAGGAAGGAGTTTGGAGCTTGGACACGCAGGGTACGGTCAGCATCAGCTCACTCTTCACATGCTGGTCGAACGTCAAATGCGAAGGTTGGGCCATGGGTTGAATGGCAGAAAAGCCATTGCCACAAGGAAAGCAGCACAGTGCTTGACAACAGAAATCGTATGGTGCCTTTCTCTATGCTTCAATTAGGAGGTTCTGGCCTGTGCTACCACGTAAGTCCCAACACCTCTCCCGAGTACAGCTATGGCTCTCAAGACAACCACCCTTATCACCGATATGATTGCTACTCAACTTCGGAGGACAGGGAGCCATCATCGAGACGTCACCCTAAGGTCTCTGTTGTATAAGCACTTGAAATACAAATACTTTCAATGCCCCAAACTTACTGGTTCTTAATAGGCAATAAGGGAATATAATCCCTATATAATCCCTATATTGTATATTCTCATATTCCCTACTAACCCCAAGTAAGGCAAGGGCTCCTGATGGACCAGGCCTTCGCGAGCGCATCACGGAGACGATTTTCAGGAAGGCACCCTGTGGGGTCCTTGGCGATCCGAACCCTAAACCCTGAAATCCCCTAACCCCTTGAACCCTAAACCGGGTACAGCAAAGCTTCAAAACAGTTCTGTCCTTTGAGCCTCCAAGGATCCAGGTTCTCAGCGATCGTGCCGCTCCAAAGCACAGGCTCCTGTTAAAAGGCTGTTCTCAGACTTTGGGGTACAGACATGTGACCCTGCTTTGAGAAGCTACCATATGGGGGAGGCTTCATGAACAAAGAGCTTCAAAAGTCCTAGACGAGGCGCCGAAATTGCCACTACTAGTCCACCATGATCGCTGGAGGGCTTTGAATCAACAACACCAACAGGTATTCTGGCTAGACATCTATATAGCCTCTATATACCGCCAGTTTCGAATTCAGTTTCCATTTCATCTTCTGTTTTTGATTCTCCGTTCTACTCTGAAACCCACACAACCCTGTATTACTCCACAAAGGACCTTCAGATCAACTCACATGTCCCTATATAAGCTTCTATTGCCTCTATACAGCCCATATATGAGCTACAGCTCATATTTTCCCGGAACATATCAGGGACTATACTCCTAAACTACGAACCTTCAGTGTTTGTATCACTTTCACCGGGCCACTGCAGTGTTTTTCCCTCTTGGTTTTTGCCCTGTCTCTACACTAAGGCAAATTCTTTTTACTTATTCACTGCACTGACAAGACCTTCATGGATGTTTTTCAGTGCCCGCGTCACCTTTTCAAACAGCTACAAGAGGAACCCCTATGACCACTGTTCAGGGCCCCTTAATAAGGCTAATCTTGACAATAGCTCATATCTTCCCTTTACAACAGCCCAGTCATGTTACTCCTCTCCTGCGGAATCAGGGACACTGCGCTGCGGAGGACCTGCAGCGGCACCGTGGAGATGTCCACATCTGAGCAGAGGAAGAGGCATACTGAAAGACATGCTGACCGTTTCTATACAACCCATATAAATATATACATATACTGGGAGGCTTAAGGGCAAAGGGCTTCGACAGAAAGACTAGCTAACCCCAGTTTCCATGCAATTGTCCATTTGCTTTTGTGCGTGAGTCTCCATTATACCCAAGTTCAGGTGGGCTCATGGGCAGTTGTTCTCATTGCTGTCAGGATAGCGGAAGGGTCTATGATTGTAGCTGCGGTGTTCTTGGAGGCACAGGGTCAGCTCGCAATTAGGGAGGTTCATGGTCCATTTTCAACTGAGGCTAGTGGTTCACGCAAGCTTCCGGCGTTTACTTGGAGTTGGTGGGTCGCTGTGGTCTGTGGTCGTGACCCAGAGTAGAATAGAGTAGCACTTGCAATTCTTGCAACTGCTTCTGTGAACCTGCAACCGCAACCCGGGGGGATGGCGAACTGCTTTGGATGATGCAGCTGACTTGTCTGCTGGGCCTCCCTATAACGTTACAGTACCGCGCCATGTTGAAGGCCGTAGAGGATATAACACTAACCTTAGAACTTCAAAATTTGCATGCTGCAAGGTATGGAGCTCGGTCGGAATGGTATGAGAAGATTGGATGGAGCCATATCTGGTATGAGTTGCTATGAAACTCAAATGTTCTGCCTTCAAATGCGGAGGCATGGAGTGTGTATGGTATGAGATCTAAAGTCATTAGCTTCAAAGTTAAAGAGAACCCGTACTGGGATTGGGATCATTGTTACCCGGCTGTGGGGATTTTCGTGCAGATCATAGGCCCACTTCTTCCATGGTGCTTACAGTTGTTGCACAATAACACGAAAGTGTCATATTTTGGAGTTGCATGGGAGAAGCCCGTGCTGAGCAAGTGAATTCTCTCGGAGGACCACTGTCGTTCATTCCCCTGTAACTCTTAGGTGATTGTGGCATAGTGGACTTCGAAACTCTCTTGGAAGTGCTATTGTACACGAATACAGTATGTAGGCACCTCTGGCAAGCGGATTCGGGAAAAATAAGCTTATCTCACTCAGACTCAAAGGGTTGTCTTAGAAAGCACTGGCTGTGGGAGGCGTTGACTATGGGAGTATGACAAAGAGTTGACAAACGAAAAGAGGCTGTGCTGCCTTCGTTTGCCTGTTGGATGTCGGCTATGTGCACTGTAATGCTTATCATCATGTCACATAACCATACATGCATCCAAGTCACCATCAATGCAAATGCGCCCGGCTTCCAGCTCTACCACTCGCAGCCTAGGCCCCAAAATGCAGTCATTGGCCAAGCATAGAAACGATTTTTGGGCTGCACGAGCGTGAAGCCTACCCTCGCCGTACAAAGGGAAGATAGGACCTCCACCCTGCTGCATGAATTGGCTTGCAACAACTGAAACTCATCTCTGCTACACCTTCCTCCACCTACGACTTCTGCTACTCCTCTTCCTCCTCCTCCTGCTGCTGCTTGTGATTACCGCTGCTGGCATTTCCCTGACGCCTCTTGCGACCCGTTGCTTATGCCCGTGCTTTCATGATTGCATTCGGACACTGTTGTGAGCGGTAGGTGCTGTGTTTTTACTGCTGAGGTCAAGAAGTCAATGGCAATAGGAAGAGCAGCAACAAGCAATGACAGTGACGGCAATAAAGATTAATGAATGGAGCAAAAAAACAGGGCATTGGTCTTGCAGCTTCCCGTGATATCCGTGTTTCTCACTGCTGGGGCCCCCACATATCGCCTCAAAAACCCCCCCGAAAACGCTGTCTCATCCCTATATAATCCAGAAGTGTCACAGTAGCCATTGTAAGAGGCCTGGGGAAGCCCAAGTCCCTCTAAACCCAATCCTACACTTGTAACTTTCCCATTTGAGCTAATGTCTAAACTCCTGGTATCCCCCTTAATAACCGCTAGAGTATAGTCCCTATATGATCCTGTATATGGGTGGTTGTCAAAATAATGATCCCTTTCAGGTATCCTAAATATTAGGTGCCGTATCATAACAGGGATCCCAGAAGGGACAGTAATTTCGACAACCGCCCATATATCCCCCTTTAAGCTATAGCCTAAACTCCTAGCATCCCCCTTAATAACCCCTATTGTATAATCCCAATATGGTAGTTTCCCAAAATGAGGGGACCCCAATATATGCCTCAAAAATTTATAATCCTTATTATTGGGACCCCTAAAAGGGTACCCCTCATTTTGGGAAATCCCCACATAATCCTGTATATATCTTGGTTGTAAGGGGTTATATGGGGATTATATAGGGTTATATAAGGGTTATATTGGGATAATGGAAAAGAAAATGGAAACTGCTGTCATAGGTTTTAGATGGATTTTGGATTCAGGATGTGATTTGTGGGTTTTCGAGTGTGGGGCTGGAGTTTAGGATTTTGGGTTTTCAGGGTTTCAGGGCTTGGGGGTGAGGTCCTTTCAGGAATGTTATAAAGTTTTCTTGTTGCATGATGTTGTACTTTCCTTAGAATGGGGGACCCCGATATAATCCCCCCAAAAATACAGTCCTTATGAGTTGGACCCCAAAATCATTTTATTTTGGGACGTCGAGGGAATGATCGAGCTCCCGCGATAGCAAAGCGGCAGCAAAAGTAAGAACCGGGCAGCTGCAACATTCATGGCTTTACAAATCAACCTGACTGGTGCCTGTCTCACTGGGTAACCCTTACATGAGCACTGTCACAAGCATAGCAGCCTGTCACTGTATCGTTTGCATGACTAATCCCCATTTGATCCCTGCATACACAAGGACTCTCTCTGCGTTGAGCAAAAAGGCAAAAAGGAATTTCTGAGTAGAATTGCTGCGTGCCCAAGGACACACGGGACGCGGACCAGATGTCTTGCGTGACCGGGTTTCTTCGAGAAGGGCTTGAAGCAGCTCTGTAAAAGGCAACAGGATCTCCCATGTATAAAAAAGCAAGTTTAATAGTTGAAGAAGCATGAAATCAACTTGAGTCAGGAGCCACTCCCTGTTTAACTCTCATTCCTGGATTTTCAGAGGACATCCAGAACAGCAGCTGAACCCTAAACCCAAGACCCAGTTCTCGAAACCTGCAAAAACCTAGAACCATAAATCACAAACCACAAGACCTCAAAACTCAAACACCTCGAATTCGCAAAGCCTAAAACCTCAAAACTCTAAGACCCCAAATCCCAAGTCTTGGTGCGTCTGGGTTGCTGCTAAGGAACTGAAATTAAGTTACCATAGTATGTGTATATAGTAAGTCGTCGGGTTTAACTAATTTAAGTTCCTTAATCCAACCCAGGCTTCATACCACCCAACCACAAGTCATCGGCAGGCCTTATGGCCTGGGGTAATCTGCAGATTGAAGCCCTTGAGCACCTGAGAAGATTCACGTAATTAAGGTTTCATGCTTAGGGTTTAGGGGGCAAGATTCACGTGATTGTTGAGGGTGTGGGGGTTACTGTAAAGATTGCTTTGTGCTTATAATTGAAGTTTTTGGTGTGGGGCTTAAGATTCTTGCCTCAGGACGCAGGGTACAAGAGTCAGGTTTCAGGCAGGGAAGCGATTAAAGGGGTCCATGCATGTGTGTGTGTATACATGTACCCACGGACATCAGACCAGCCCAGCCCAACGCTAATCAAAAAGCATCCTGGTTCCCAAAAACACCATAAGTTTCAATTGAAGCCCGCTATCCAAAATAGATTGACATCAATACTGACCAATTGTGAACATCTTCTATTCGTTCCTCTTGCTTTGAGTTTGCTCTGGAAAGGCATGAGTTTAAGCGCGAGCCTTACTCAAGGTCAGCGTGGCAGGATTTGTCACAGGATTGTTGGAAAGCATGCCGCTGGCAAAATTTCCGGTTGTCGTGCTGATTGCTCTCCCAGGCAGTCTCTACAGTACCCTAAACCGTACACTGTCCATGTCCTCGCCTGTTCAATGGAAGCCCTGCCTGCGGGAGGTCTGCCCTGTAGCGCATCGAAATGGACTCAAACGTGATCTTGCCTCTGTCAGTGATGGGGTTATGGTTGGGTGCCGTCCAGTTCTTCAATTGCAATTCACTGGGGGTTCTCGAATTGGGGCAGGTATGACCTTGAAACTTTACGAATTTAAGAAAAGGGGTCCCTTAAAGCCAGAAGAGTTTTATGAGGCCACCTCGAGCAACTTGAAGATGTTGAGCATGATTCTTACAAAGAACGATCTACATACTTTAAGTCGGCTCTAGGAGATGTAGGGTCCCCTCAACTCTTGGCGGGCATATTGTACTAATCAGATTAAGGCTGAATACCTGCCTACTTAGGAAGCCACAGGGCGCACCAACCCGTTTCCGGACAAATGACCCCTCACCGCGAGAAGCTGGAGACGGGAAAGCTCAGCAGCTGCAGGACACTCTGTCAGTCTGCACATCCACATCCACTAATCCCCTCCCCCGATACCCCCCTCATGACAAATATTCTCTGTGTGGGGTTTACTTGGAGGGTCAGGGGGACTTAGTAAGTAGGTTAATGACCCCTATAATAGACCCCTATAATCGAGGCCTTAGTATCCTAACTATTAACCTACTTACTAAGTCCCCCTGACCCTCCAAGTAGGGCCTTTATGACCAGAGCTAAAAACCCATGGCCCTAACCCTGCCTTCTGCCGGCCAAGCTCCTAAAGGAGCGCCTCCTGCCTCTGGTTCACGGGGAATAGTGGCCTGGGCCAGACCACAAACCACAAAGGCTTGCAAATTGCAGGGGTTCCAGGAGGGTGACATGCTGCGCAGATGTTTGCCGAGACATAGGTTAATGCCGAGAACTCTAAATCTAAAGACAGTCACGTACGGAATTTTCCAGAAACTAAACGCACGCAAAAGGACACTCTAAAAGGCATGACTGAAGCTGGGTCATGATTTCGCTATTGGGGTTAGGATTGCAAAACAACTTAAACTGCCAACCTGCAACCCTGAAACAACCCCACGCTCCCGCGATGCTAACATGGAACCCCCCCAAAAAAAGTGCCCTAAAAAGACTGCGGTCCTGTACTCGATGGCCTACTTGGATGTCAATGCAACGTAAATCTCCTGGGGCCTGCCTCGAATTGAGCGAGCCGCTCAGCCGCAACCAGCTGGTTCCTGAAGCTTTGCTTGCCAAACCCTGAAGAGGGGCTGGCAAGTAGAACTGGTCTGTACTACTGATTCAACCGTTCATAAGGGCCCTCTTGATCCTATATCCTGTTTTCACTGAAATCTCATGATCATTGCAATGAAGCACTCTCATCTAAGGGTACAAGCATATGCCCTAAGATGAGCCTTCGTCATGGGGTCTCTCATACCTGGCATGTACCCTATGTAAAAACACCGGTCCCACTTGGTGGTCATATGGATACCCCGCGCCGCCCAAACCCCAGCATCCAAGAATCCCAGCAATTCTCCTTACAAACCTACCTGATACAGGGACCCTAAACCCCTTGGCCCCCAATAGCATAAATATTTCCCTAGATAATCCCTAAACAAACCCCTTTTCGGGCATTTCCCTAAATAAGGGGACCCCAAAGTAAACCCAAAGATACTATCATCCTCATAATGGGGACCCCCACAAAAGGTACCCCAAATTTTGGGAACCCCTAACACCCTAGGCCCCCTGTAATATAGATATATCCCTATATAGTCCGTAAATGAACCCTATAAAACCCTAAACCCTGAACCCTTTTAATCGCAAGCCTTACAAACCCTAAACCCTAAACAGCCTAGCTTTGCCATGGTCAGTCCAGGCACTCTGCCTCGATGGAGAGGCGTATGCCTGAAGTGGGCTTGGAGGCTTGGGAAGCTTTTGGGGCTATAGTCCCCGGTAAGTAGATAGAAGATGGGGTATATTGGGATCTTATTATGAAATACCCAAAGCCCCCTATTCTATCTACTTAAGGGGGACTATAAGAGTTTGGCTTTTGGGGCTATCGAAGGTTTGAGAAAACAGCCTAAGAATTTCCATCAGTTTTTGTCGGTGGCTAAGGGTTTCAAAGACCAGGGCTTGTGAAAGGTACAGGGCGTGGGTTTCACTTTCACGGTGAAGGCGGCAGCTCTGAGCTTCGGGACGCCAGCGGCCCAGGTACATTTGAGGAGTATATTATGGAAATTGCAGCGGTGCACCTTAAGGATTCTCTAGGGATCGTTTCTAGAAAATCCCATCCCGGAACAAGCAGGCCCTGCAGCATCAAGAGCAACCACCCACGCGAACACTGCTGAAATCTCCCGAACAGGGCCCATAAGCATCCTCAGATACACCGGGGTTGTTACTTGCCGATCAGCCTTCGTCAACCTCTCACTGCAAGCCGAACTGCCATGATATCATAATACTACTACGGGTATAACCCCAATATAACCCAAATATATACCCTAGTTTCCATGTTACTTTCCATTATCCCAATATAACCCCAATATAACCCATTATAGTAGTTTCCATTTTCTTTTCCATTATCCCTAGATAACCCCAATATAATCCCAATATAATCCCCATATAACCCTAATATAACCCATAATTACCTCAGTTTCCATTTCATTTTCCATTTTCTTTTCCATTTGATTCTCCATTACCCTGAATATACCCCAATATACCAAGGCCCGCCTTGCAGCAAATGGGCAGCAGGTCACTG